TAAAAACATACTTATGAATATACTTTTATTATAGTATGTGATGTCAAAATTAAATTTTATACTTACGTTCCATGCCATTGTCTCAACAATACTCTTGGCCTCTGCCTTGCTAGACCCTGTGGCTTGTGCCAACAGCCTCCCATTGATGGTGAGGGAGAAGCAATTGTTTACGTATGAGCTACTTAATTCTAGATTGCACGCTTGGCAGCTGGCTGGAACAATGAAGGGTTTATCATTTTTGACACAAGAACTTAAATAATCTCAGTACAGAGTATAAAAAAGAAAACATACAGTATGTGGAACACTCAAAAGTATATGGAATTATTTATAAAATTATTTAATTATATATTTATAAAAGTATTTGGCAGTAATTGTTTCGGACGGATGTCGGACGGAGATCGAGAGTAGACCCCCAGATTTAAGCCCAAAGCCTCTGCTTGCGAGGCAGTAGGTCAAATCTATTAGGCTACGTAGAAGAATTTATTCACTTCAATTCAAAACACGTGTCCCAGCACTATACTTCACTGTCCTTTTATAATCTATACTGAAAACCAACAACATGTCCTCAGGAAACATTGTTGCATTGATCCCGGAGGATAAACTTAGCTAGGCTATGATAAATGTTAATGAAGATGTTAAAACTTACATTGTATATTAGTAAATTTGCTAGTCCATGGTCGAATCAACAACACCATCCATCCAAAAGCAGTATTGAACATGCCGTCATGAAAATGCCGTATGTTCAAACATTTCACTTTTAACATATCTTTAAGATATTCATTTGCGTCTATCACTTGCGAAGATTTCTTCTCATCGGTTCTTAATCTATCATTATTGGAGTCTACAATTCCTGTATCACTGTCAAAATCCGAATTTTCTTGAATCAACTGTGTTTCGTTACTAGGGTTTGCGGCGACGAATCCTTGTGGTACGAAGCTAATTTTGGCAGATTTTGAAGACTGTACGTCTTCAACAATTCCACCCTTTCGTTTGATGCCACGGGCTCTGTCTTCAGCGGCTGTTGATGCTGATACAAATGTGCGTTTCAATTTGTTGTTACGTGAATTTCTATATGCTTGAGCTATCTGAAAATTTAGAAACAAGAATGTTAGCGATGTTGAATAAAAATAGTAAAAAGTCAGATCAACAGGCAATGACAAAGCACATGATCTAGCCAGAAAAGGGTCGGAGACGGCCGCTATAAGTCCAAAAACCCTTAGTGTCCCTCCCCTACAAATGGTCCAGCACAACTACACACAAAGCTACAAAATCTTCTCATAATAACAAATGGTTACACAATGGGTAGTCCCTTACGGTTTGTAGACAGGCGAGGAAAGCACTCCCAATGCTCACAATAACAGATTGAAAAACTTGTTATGGCTTCTGGCTAAGCAGTCCGCCCGGTCTCTAATTAACGAACTCATGGTGTATCGTGCCATATTGGAGCCGATATGGCTCTATGGCATTCAGTTATGGGCTTTTGCCTCCAAATCAAACATCCAATGCCTTCAAAGAGTCCAAAACAACATCCTTCAAACTATCAGTGGTGCCACATGGTATACTAGGAACACTGAAATCCACGAATACCAGGAGATTCTAACGATTGTAAAAGTGATGGATATATATAGACATGACGTGTATAGAATGGACGTATGTAAACACAAGAATCAGCTCAATACTGGACCGAATTCTCTCGCTGAAGATCTGGTTGATGGTGGCAACAACAAGAGACTGAAACAACAGCACGTGTTTGATGACTAGGAGAGGCTGAAGCAGTTGCTTCCTCTCTCTCAAATGCCAAAAATCACTGAAACAATTTAATTATAGTCTAGCTACTGATTGTAAATAATAATAAAAAAAAAGGTAATTGGTGTTGTTTAGTACATTATTATTATCGCTTTTGTTTATATTGTCTCATTCTTTGACTGTCTTTAATTACATTTATGAACCGAAATCAGATTCTGCCATTGTCTATGTTGGAAGTTTCAGTGCCATGATGGGACAAATTGCCAGTTGTTGAAACAATTTAGCAGTTATTAAGAGAGCTATGGAAAGAGCGATTGGCGGTTGATGAAAGGTTTTTGCATTGGTGCAAATAATTAGTTGCTTAGTATTTAGTTGGAAAAAATATTCTAGCTTGTATTGTAGTCGGAATACAGCAATTATACTCTGTACAACCATTTATTTTACTTTTGGCAGCTCGAATACTATTCAATTAGTGCTGTCTTAAGGCATTACCAATTCAAAAGAAGTTTTAATCATGAGTGTGAGCGGGTTCATATTCATGATTAATTATTAATTAATGTTACAGAGGATTCAAGTGATGATTCCAGTTCATATAGAGAGAAATTCATTATAATAAATATTTAGAACGTATTATATTTTAAATTTATATATTAATTTTAATTACAATTTATTAGGCAGGTACCAAAATCTATACAACGGAGAAATCAACTTGAACAATGTTTACATAATCTGTTGGCTCGATGAAAATATTGAAGCTAAAGAGTATGTTGCTTCATTACGATAAAGAAAAAAATAGCGTCTATTTAAGAAGTATTGCATTTTTTGTCTACAGTTGTCTATCTTCTTCATCTTTTAAATGTTATGGCCCCAACAAAGTAATCCATGACGCCAATGTCAAGTTGAGGAACACACACGTTTTTACTCAAAAATTGACTGGTGAATTTCAACAACTTCAACTTCAACTCTTCACAAAGAGGATAGGCAATTTGAGGCGGCGTGCATGGATTGACTCGGGATTCCTTAAAACGGGCCGATACGGGTATTTTAGTTCGAGATTCGTATAATTTCGCGTTTTAATCTTCGATTAAGGCACAATAGCACTATCCTGTTCCACTTTAAACTAGATTTCACAAAATAATTGAAAGTCAAAATAAAAACGACACTTTTCCCTCCAAAAGGTCCAGAGCGAATCGATGAGAATCTATAAATCTATAATGACAGCGAACCTACACAGACTATAACAGAGACAAACTTTTTTTTTAATAAATTTACACAGCACATGCACAAAGGGAGAATGGAGAAACGTTAGGAGGAAGTCGATATTAATGTGATGGGGGATTTTATGAGGGAGGATATACAATAACTACAAAGACATTTGACATAAGCAAATGTTAAACAAATTAATCAACATAGTTACTGATTATCGACATAGATTCTATATTCATTTTAATTTTTTTATATACAATAATTGATAAACAAGCAATTATCTATCTTCTTATAAATGCTATGGCTCCATCGAAATAAACGATGATTTCGCCGATATCAAGTAAATATTTGTATGTGCGGTAGTTTTGTAAAAATGTGACTTCTACTTTAAAATGTTACAACCTCATCGATACCGTATCGATGAACCCGCTAATGCCAAGTTGAGGAACGACAACATAACGCATTAAAATTAAAACAATTTAAAAAACAAAACAGCAAGTCACAATGAATATAGGCCAAAATAAGTGGTTGTATTTACATCATGAGAGAGCCCGGCCACTTCCTGCATAACTTCAGTTGGATATCTACATCCCAATAACTCCATATTTGCAAAAACTCTTGCTAAACACACTAATCTTTGTTCAGGATAGTCAGTTTTCCATTTTTCCATAAACAGCTTCCTTAAATGCCAATGTTCCTCACTTTCATGCTCTTCCCGGTGACTTTCTACATCCCAATCGACGTTAAAAGACATTTTTATGTATTGTACAATGACTTGAAATCAATTTTTAGTCAAATATATTTACAAAAACAGAGAAAATGATCGGCTCTAAACCAAGAAACATTTTATTGAGTTGACATATACGTTTTTTTTCGTTGTTTGTTTTGGCCTTGAAGCTTAGCATTGCCATCGATTCAGTTTTTCCGTTTAAAGCTTGGAACATCGCTCGGTATCGGTCAGAATCCTGTTTTATAATTATCCGAAAAATTTCAATAATGGAATTTTCCTGAAAAATTCCCGAAAAATTGAAAAAATATAATTTGGAAGTTCTACATTTACAAATACTTTTGAAGTTTTATTTAGCGTAAACTGTAAAATAAACTTGTTTAACTAAAAAACGCTTATTAGAAAAACGATATTTATCTTTGACGATTTTACAACAGTGAAAAAATCCAATAGAATGGCTCCATCGTTTTCGTTCAATAACTTTAACTTTTGACAGGTGTCAACGTAAAATGCGGAAAAATATTTGAAAAATAAAAAAATTATAACCGTCAATGCGCATAATAACCGCTTAAGTATTTTAATAACCGGCAATCTATCTCACCACCGCACTAAGGATCGTATTACTCTACTCAATGCTCAAGTCAGAATTTGATCAGACTTGAGTATGATTTCAAGCACTGGAAATTCGACCCTAATGACAAGGACTTGAGTATGATTTCTAGTGCTTTGAATCAAACTCAAGTCCGGACTTGAGACTTGAGTAGAGTTCTAGAATACGACTCTAGGTCCTTAATAAATTAGTCTTTCAACCCTGACGGTAGCGAAATCGTCGCGCAAAACCACGGAGCCATAGATACAAAAGTTGAAGTTGAAATAGTTGAAAAATATTCGGAAAAATACTTAAATTTCTGAAAAATATGATTTTTAAGTGGAAATGTTTCCATGACGCAATGAAATTTATTCCTACTAGTCAATGTTTGGCTTTTGAGGTTCCTGCTTTGAAGTTAAAGAATCAAGACCCAAATTTTGCTTAATTTTTGAGCTTGCATTTGAAGGTAAAAAATATTTTGGTTGAGAAATATAAACTCTCTTTGGCAATAACGAGCAGCGTGTGAGTTCTGGCAATAAGTTTGTTCTTACACAGTAATATGATTGTTACAAAGGGTCTTGATTCAAGTTCAAGTGCCACTCTAAAATTTTTGACAACATAAGTGACAAAATACTAGTTACAAATCGCAGCTATTCGAGTAAAATCGAGTATGCACTCCACTCCATAGCATTTTCAAAATATTTCGTTAATGTTACGTCAAAAATAGAAAAAACATAGTTAAAATCATGTTAAAATTGAATTAACGGAAACGATTTTTACGCGAAAAATGTTATGTTCTTACACAAACACTTTGTGCGTTACCATTAATAACTTATTGTGAAAGTAAATGCTTGATTTCACATTGTTTCCGCCGACAAAATATCTACAAGAACTTTGTAGAAAAATTCTTGAAAACAGTGCTTTAATGTAATCGTGACTATAAACAATGGAGACCCATGATAGCGCCGACTACGGGTTACAAACCAAAGGTCAAGAAACATCACGTAAAGGGCATCGTAAGAGAAACAAAGTATCAAATTTACACGCTCGTTTATGCCCAAATTTCGACTTAAGAGACACTTTAATACCGGAAAAAGACAATCCGTATGCAAACACATATCTTCAAAGGCATAGTCAAGAGGAATTAGATCCGAAAACAATGGATTTTGCTACTTTAGTAACATTTTTGCATCCCACATTTATTAAGGACTACCTCCGGAAAATACTAAATTTTTTTAAAACTAACCTATGCGAAATGAGTTTTCCCAACATCGCACCGCACAAGGAAGAGTTTCTCGTAAGAATAGCTAAGGATAACGTATTTTTGAAATGCTCAAATTTCACTGCAGAATGCCAAAGAACTGGACAAGAAATACTTATGATTTTACATCAAAATAGGCACTATTACAAATGGGAATATTATTATGGAGGCGGAATATGCTTAGACAAGTAAGTACTGTAGTAGAGGTGGGTGATAAATAACGTCATGATGAAAAAATCACCTTGATCCACTGTCAAACAGTAGCACCATGACTCGTTCCGAAGGAATAACGTTCCAAAGTCACATAGGTGTTCCTCCGTTCCAATAGCTATCCCCGTCACTCACATCATGACATACGTATTTGACTGAGCGTGCCACTCGTTGCAGTTCTCTTCGGCGATGGGAGTGAGTGAGATAGGTTGACTTTCTTTGCTCACTCACAAGGGTTGTAGGTGCTTATTACTACTAGAAAGGGCAGATGAAAAAAATCTGCAGTTACTATAAACCTATTTATTAACAAAGTAAAATATTTTTGTATATTTGTTTTATTATGGGAAGAGTTGATATTTTATATTTATGTATCTACTTTGTATGTACTTTGTGTATTCTACTAGAAATATAATTACATTACACTTTATTGCTATTTTTAACGATCCAAAGATTCGCATTAAATAAGTAACAAACAAAATTACATTAAATACAAAAACAAGTTTTTGAATGGAATTGAAACTTATTACAAAGGGAGTAAAAACTTAAATCATTCTATAAAAAACGGCTATAAGTATTAGAAAGAAGCCCCTGGCTAAAACTGTACATCGTGATGTAAGTTATAGGCGTGACAAGGGAACGGAAGTAACAGTCGTGACAAAAAAAAAAGTTTTTGGAACCGGAACGACAGTCACGGCGATAGAAATGTAACACTATTCCCCATGTCTATACTGTAGTTGCTTCCACATTTCTGCCATCTGCTAACTAAAATGTGGCTAAGTGACAAAATATTTTTTAACAAAAACCTAACCTACTTTTAGAGTTTTGAATCTGTTTAATGATACTTCAGCTATGCATTGATAACTGTTTTTAAAAGAGCATTTAGTGTTCTATGATATTTGACCATTTGTCACTTTGCAGATTTATATGGCAAACAGTTATTGAATAGAATTCCCTGCCTGTAGACTCATTCCCTAAATGGTATAACATAGACCTTCTCAAATTGAGACTAAATGGGCATTATTTAGATATGCATACTTTCTTTTTAAAAAAGAATAAAGTTTAACAACCCAGAGATGTCCAGTAGGACCAGCATTTATGGAGCGCGACTTGCGCAAGAGATCAAGATACTACTTGTTCTTGGTACTTGGTGTAATGGGCTGGTGTCTGCAACTCGACGTCAAGGCGCCTATTTCGCTGCATCTGCCATCTTACATGCACACAAATGCGCATGTCCCCACAGTGTCATGCACACAATAAATGAAAAGCGGCTTCACTTCGTTTGTTATGCTCCATCTGCCTATTGTTTTATAATCTGAGACTAATAGACCAACAGTCAAAATAAGAATAAAGAACACAATAATGCAATTACTTTTTTTGACAAAATTTTACCTACTTTCACAATGTATCAATAAAACTGTCTACAATAATTACATGACTATTTAACATTTTACAAAAAGTGGCAAAAAAAACCCTGCAAATGTCATTTTACTCCATCTTCGAAAAAAGACTAGTTGACTGTGAGATGAGATTGAGTACTTGTATAGTATTATATTATTGTGACTACATGTCCAGATTAAGAAACTTGATTCAGAATATTTCAATCTATTTCCAATTTCTTTACATCGATTTTACGATTATTCTGCCAATGTTGAGGTTGATAATCTCAGTACAGAGTACTAAAAATCCGACCTCAAAAGTATGTGGAATTACATCTATTTGCCAAGTTTTATTGAAATATAGTTCGCAACTATACAGGAGATAATAAAAAATCGATTTTCACTACTCAAAGTATATTGAGAGAGAAAAACGCCTTGAATTGGAGAATAGCAAAACTAACCATGAAAAATAATTGCTCCTTAAGTAAAATTTAGGCGCTATTTATAAAAATGAACGTTCATGCGTTATCAGCCACCCTTAGAGGTGGATGATTTTCTTCAAAATGAAATGGGACCACTATGGAGGTACCCTCTTTCCAACAAAAAAAGTATCATGAAAATCGGTTCACAAATACCGGAGTCATCGCGTACCATACATACAAAAAAAACGAAACGTACAGTCGAATTGAGAACCTCATGCTTTTTTTGAAGTTGGTTAAAAATGTTGTTGATTATCTGTTGAGAAGAAGTTAACCATCTACAAAACAGTCCTCAAACCAATTCAGAGTTATGGATTACAACTGTGGGGATCAGCAAGTATGTCATACTTGGAGACATTACAGAGGTTCCAAAATGTTGTGCTCAAAATTCTGTTAATGCTCCATGGTTCACAAAAATGGATGATATTCATGATTATCTGAAAATCCCTACTGTCAAACAGGATATGTAACATGACAAAAGCCTATAAGGACAGAATCTCACGACATGAAAACAGAATTGCACAAGCTCTGAACGAACCTCTAAGTAACAGACGATTGAAGAGGTTCCACATGTGGGACTAAAGGAAGGAGAAATTGGAAAGATAAATATCATAACAAAACAATTGCTCATGGTCCATAGACCGGTCGCACGTTGCAAAATGCATTATAAAAAAAAAGGTTGAAAAAGACACTTCATTATGTGCTGTGACAGAGTTCAAAATGTACATTTCACATTGAACGGCAGACTAGCTTTCGAATTTAAACAGTGGGACAGAAGCCAAAACAACAAAAAAAAGGCAGGTTTGGTCGTTGAAGTATAATTATCTACATTATGATTTTTTCTTTAATTTCAGTGTGTTGGTGTACAAAAAACAGCTTTTGGACCAAACGAAAAATCCGCAAGAGATAAATAGCTTATCAAAGTGGTAAGATGTTCTGCCCTCTTCTGACTTAAGGTTATAACTAACGTTACAGGCAACATTTATCAGTATGTTGTAGTATAGTATAATAACACAAGTAGTCCAACTTCGGCGCGTCAATGCCTACACGTCGGAGCGTCGCGAAAAGAAAAACATGTTAATAATAATCTATGGGTATGCCTCACTTGTACAAAAAATTAAATAATCTAATTTCAAAACAACTACCGATCATTTAATATAATTTTTATTAGAACCAATTTCACTTCCTATAATTTAACTTCATATAAATTCTTATTTGATATAACATTCACATTAAATAATTTTTTTTCCATATAAAGCTCATATTATGTAACAAACATTTCATGTATTGTCAATTTAGATAATTTTTCCGTGGTATGTATATAACACTTTATATAAATAAAAAGTTTAAACCCGACTCGCCATGATACTTGTCTGTTCGATACTAGGAGTGTAATTTAAAATCCGGAGGTGTGGTAGTAGGTTAGGTTAGAATAAGAAAAAGTAGCATGAGACTAGCGAGCGTGCCGCGGCAGCGGCCGGCGAGTGCCAGAAACAAATTTGTTTGCGTTTCCAAAAATGGTTTCAGGCCAAACTGTAATTAATAAAATTAGTATTATCGTTTTTCCGAAATAATTATATTTCTAGATAAAATGAAATTTAGATAAACTGACGTTATGTTAACTGTGGTTTATAACTTATGATCGTTATTAAAAATGAGTGTTAGTGTAAGTGATCGTTATAAAAAATTAAATTATAGAATGTAAGTTTATATCAAACATTCGTTATATGAAGTCATCGAGTATATAACCAGAAATAGAGACGAAATGTCATTTAATTTGTTTGAAAACTATTGTGCCATATCATTACTGTGACAACTGCGCTCCGATTGGCTAGCCCGAATTCGAAACAATTGACGGGTGTCGTCAATGGGTGTAGTCAAATGTTTCACTTCAAATGGACCAGTTAACTTGATCTTTGCTATAATGGACCTAAATTGCAAAATTACATATTTAATATTTAATTACTGATGAAATGTGATTCCGTTTGTTTTGTAATTAGATGTTTTGCTGTTTTTCCCACACCACCGAATAGAACAGCACGGCATTGTTAGAGATATTATCTTCATTACAATGTACACACAGGTCAGTAGTTGGTCTGTCTATATTTCAGTGCAAACTGGAGTTGATAAGAGCTGTATCGCTAATGTATTACTAGGAATATATGGCCCTTATTTCTCTCGACTCGATGTATGAAGTCAATCACTAAGTAACGGAACGAATATATCGTGTGTCTGGTGGTAAGCGACACGCCTGTTCGTATCAGTTGCAGTGCCACTCAGAGCTTTAAATCACAAAGATCTGAGAGGCATTGCCACTGCGCCCGACATCCTGAGACAAGTTGACAAGTCTCATGTGCCTGTAATTTCACCAGCACCCTTCAAAATCGGGACACAGTAATGCTGACATTACTGGTCGGCGGCAGAAATAGGTGAGGTGGCAGTACTTCACTTGTCGAACTCTTTCACAAGGAGCTCTACTGCTATTAGAAAAGTTACCAACAGACCTTACGAATTTTTCTATGCGCTTGTTGCTACTTGTTTTTTGGTCTCTTTCGTAAGGCCTGTTGGTTGGTTCCGTAGCTCAGTTGGGAGAGCGTCAGACACGGTATGCTGGTTCGAATCCAACCGGATCGAACTAATTTTTCTTAACGTTCGACCTTGGTGTTAATAATCATCTATTTTTTAATTTCAGCATGTCTTCAACACCCCAAACCTTGGCGTCAACTCTTGAAGATCTTACCTTGGAAAGGCAAGACATACCTACAAGCTTCAAAATCCAAATGCTTAACACAACGCTTAAATTCATCAAAGATAACACCCGACTCACTTTACAATACCCTATAATGCCTTACCACCAAGCTGCTTATGTATTCTTCCTAATTCAGTCGGGTTATAAAAAGGATACCAGCATCGGTTTTGGCTTCAAATCTTTGTATTCTGCCTTTTACGAAGCTATGAGTGTTGCCAGTGCGCGTTTTGAATTTAATGTTGAGTTTTTTGAGTCGAATAATTGTACTGCGTAAGTTTTTTTCAAATTTATTCTAACTTATTTGTATGAAAGAAATCTGTACCCGTACCACAGTAGGGCTACCATGACAGAGAGTGACTTAAGCGAGGTACTTCTCGCATAGAGATCTTGCGCGAGTTGAGCCCTGCCCTGATACAGTATCAATGGCAGGATTTTGTACGCCTGATGGCGACTGACGGGGCGTGTCGTTAAACAGCTGTACAATTTTCAAGTTTTGGGATAAATTATTTCAATTAGAAATAATATCTCGCAAAAAATGTGCAAAGTTAGATATTCTACTCTAAATTTAGATTTTTATTTTAATCTGTTTTCGGGATTTTATATGATCAGGTAAAGTACATCCTATCATGTACGAAATTGGCATTCTGTGTGTTTAAAGAATGCCATATTATATATACAGGCTGTATATTTGAAAGTGAGACATATTCATACATGTCATAGTAAATCATGTTACAACTTAATATAGATTAAAATAAAATAAGGATATGGGATAGAACAAAAAATAAATCAACAAATTTGTTTTGGAGTGTACATAGGAATAAACCTATTCCCTTTATGCTTGATTTCGAGTGCAATGGGAATACTACCAAGCGAGCGCCGAATGAGACAGCAACAATAACAATGATTTCACATCTCCCTTCCTACTAAAAGCACCTCTTTTCTCTAGAAAATAAAAAACTAAATTACTCACCTACGCATATTTATGTTATGATGAAAAAAGCTGTTATCGAAATGATTACGTTTTAGCTTAATTATGCTAATTATTTTTTACTTCTGAACTATCGTCGAAATGTTTTACGTACTAAAAACGATAAGTTTATGATTTAGTAACTAGTTATCATTTAATAAGAATTGAGGTTTTTGGCGTAGTTAAAAATGTGGGAACATTTCAATAGCTCGTCTCACACTATCACCACTTATAGCGTAAAGTCGCACCATCTCAGTCAATTCAACGTTAGAATAAATATCTATTTTGCACGAGCGAGCGGAAGTACAAATAATTTACGTATCTTCGCTAGACCACGGTCGCGCGTGCACTGTCTCTATGCGCCCGCGCCCCCACCCCCGACCTGTGCTTTGATTTTCGCCGCCGTGCCGCAGCTCGCCATTACGTCGGAGCAATAATAGTGATGTGCATAGGTTTCGATAACTAATGTTGTTCACAAGTAGTAGTCGATAAAAAACAATAAAAAAAATTCAGATTCAGGAATATAACGCACTCTAAGTATATCCCACTTTCAATATACAGCCTGTATATATTGTCATATCCTAAAGTGTATTATATATTTCGACTCATCCGTAGAACAAAGACCGTACGTTTCGTTCGCTGTTCTTAGCTATGGATATCAGATCGACTGTTGATCGATTTTATATTTCCGAAACGAAATAATCCATAAAATTTTGAAAACACCTATAGCTAGGCCTTATTTTGATATGATGAATAATGAGATTATGTATTGATCCTCTTTTCGTTGTATAATCACATTCGACTCTGTTCTTCCGATTTAATTGTAAATATTTTGTAAGATAGTAAATACCATTAAATGGTTTTGATCTAGGTGAAAATGTATGCTACATCGTCGACAAACGCAAACTATTTTTGTATTAAAAAAAAATAGATTTATTTTTCTTCCTAAATCATATTTATTAATTTTGCACTCTTTTTTCGTCCATTACATTAAATTCTCATGCTTGTGTGCTTTTTGCTGCACGGCTTTAAACATCCGTTTTTAAAATTAATTACATAGACAAGCAATTTCTACATTATTAATTATTTTAACAAATTTGTTGCAGCGGAGTGGTACTACAGAAAACGTCAAAAGCAATAATCGAAAATAACTGTAAAACGTACGTACTTATTGTTTTCTATCTAATATTATTATACTGCTCTCGGAATGGAAAAACAATTAACACTTTAAAAAAAAGGAGGTTCTTAATTCGTTTGTATGTTTATTTTTGTATGCATGTTATGCGATACCTCCGACATATGTGAACCGATTTTGATATCCTTTTTTTTGTTAGAAAGAGGGTACCTCAGGAACGGTCCTATTTAAATCTGAAGAAAATACTCCAACTTTAAGGGTGGCAAAGTAGGGGATGAATGACTTGAGGTCAGTTTTTTTATTCAAAATTGAGTTATATTAGGGTTTCTTAACCTTAATCGAACCCGGGACCTCTGCGTGGCAGATCAGCATGGTAACCGTTCGGTCACAAAGCCTTTAATTTTAATTTTTGACCGACTTCAAAAAAAGGAGTACATTCTCAATTTGATTGTTTTTTTTGTAAATGTATGATACGCGATAAGTAAATTATGAATCGATTTTTAACCGATTTCAAAAGGAGGAGGTTCTCAATTCGACTGTTTTTTTTGTATGTATGTTACGCGATAACTCCGGTATTTGTGAACCGATTTTCATGATTCTTTTTTGTTGGAAAGGGGGTGCTTCCATAGTGGTCCCATTTTGAAGGAAATCATCCACCTCTGAAATGAATGTCTAAAAATGAATCTTCATACGTGAACAGCCACCCGGCTGTTCACATATGAAGATTCATTTTTATAAATAGCGCCTAAATTTTCTGAAGGAGCAATTATTTTAATGGTTGATTTTGCTGTTTCTCCAATTCAAGGCTTTTTTCTCTCAATATTCTTTGATTAGTGAGAACCGATTTTTTATTATCTCCAGTGTCAAGTACTGTATAGTGGCGAATTTAAGGATATTTCAATAAAACTTAGGTCGGTTTTTTAGTACTCCGTACTGAGATTATATTTATGATAATACTATTTTGTTAGTCTCAGTAGTGGTCCCATTTAAATTTGAAGAAAATATTCCACCTCTAAGGGTGGCAAACTAGTGGATGCATCCGGTTTCCCGCACTTTCCGGTAACCGATTTGAATAAAACTTGGCAAATAGATGTAGTTCCACAAACTTTTGAGGTCGGTATACGTTCCTTTTTGGTTTTCCTCCCGTCTGTTTCCGTATCTTCTATTTTCACAGTGCAGTGGCACGAAGTATTGTAGGGCTATTTAGTACATTATTTTTTTTTTCATTTCCAGTGTCGATGTAAAATTGTCAACAATTTCCAACTCCACAACTTCTTCCGACTCTTTACAAGAATGCATTAAGGCGGAAAAAGACTTCCAAGCCAAGCGCAAATTAATACAAAGTCTGTCTGAGACTTTCATAAAAGCTTCGTTAACTGAAGTGTTAAACTTCCTTGAAGATGAACAACGGGCTAGCTTGGAGTTCAAACATATTACTGCTTCGGATTCCAGGTAAGTTTTATATAAATAATCATCATCGTCATCATCATCTCGGCCCGTTAACACCTACTGCTAGGTGTTAACGGGCAAGCCTGATTAGGTATGATATACTAGTAGTAGAGCTCCTCGTGAAAGAGTGTCGTGTTTTTAAGTATTCGGCTGAATAGCAAAATCAAGCGGAATAAGTCTAATACCGAATAGTAACCTAATACTCATTGCAACTCTAATATTTACCCATCGAGCATATAACCAGAAATAGAGACGAAACAAGGGCCATACATTCCTGGTAATTCATCAGTGACATCTTATAAATATCAACTCCTTTGATCTGAAATATAGGCAGCGCCAACAACTGACTTGTGTATACGTCTCCGTATATTCCAAAAATATTCCGTATTTATTGTAATAAAGATAATATCTGTAAAAACGAAAACAAATTTCATCGGTAATTAAATATATAATGTAATTTTGCAATTTTCGTCCATTATAATAAAGCTCAAGTTAAACTGGTCGATTTGAAGTGAAACAATTGACGACACCCGTCAATGGTTTCGAATTCGGGTTGGCCAATCGGAGCGCAGTTGTCGCAGTAATGATATGGCAGAATAGTTTTCAAACAAATTAAATGACATTTCGTCTCTATTTCTGGTTATATACTCGATGTATTTACCTGTAGTCTGTCTCTTTTGAAGACGGAGTAAAATATCTGTTCATCGCACAAAAGTGTTGCCCGCTTGCGAGCAGCTAGTGATTGCAGTCGATAAATATTCTATCGACTATAAAGTGAATATTGGTCACGCTTATGGAATTAATAGCCGAACTTATTTCATTTCAATCATCCTCGACCCATTATTCATCCAATTACTGAAGCCAAGTTCATTCGAATTTTCAATTTTTCTAAGGGCATAAATACATGTATTTAGAACTATGTGTAAAATACAAGGAGGAGACATATTTTAAAGATTTTCATTTTAATTTAATATAGATAATCAAATCCAGCTATTCTAGCTTAAATGTATATACATATACGCTTAAAAATTGATCTCGATAGTATAGTAGGCCAACTTTACTGTCAAAATAACAATAGAGACGGCAGTAACGCAATTAGTAATCATTAGAACGTCGTTACATTCACAGTTCAGTCATTTTTGGCAAAATTTTATCTTCTTTCACAATCTATCGATAAAACTATCGACAACAACTACATAACTATTTAAAATTTTGTTGAAACTAGTACCCTGTAATGTGTCGAAGCAACGTGACTTCTTTGGTAGGTCACTGGTTTGCATATTGAAGGAAATGTTGAGTAGGCATAAGATTCTTTGTATTGTAAAAGAATTATTAATACACTTCTATTGCACCATGAACTAATAAACACACTATCTAAAATTGTTCCTGTTTCACTATACGTCGCTAACCAGATGACATCCCAACTACCTCACTGCACAACCAACCTAATATAAGATTGACTACAAATGACATTTTACTTAAAATTTAAGGAATCTACTCTTAGATTAAATAATACGACCTTTTTTTATACAACATCAAGTGACAGGACGAACAAATCGTGCGCCTGGTGGTATACGACACGTCTATCCATGACAGTTGCAGTGCCACTCAGAGCTTTAAATCGCAAAGATCTCAAATACACTGCCACTACGCCCGTCACCCTGAGACATAAGTCGACCATTCCCATATGCCTGTAATTTTACCAGAACCCTTAACCCTTTAAAACCGGAACACAGTAATGCTGACATTACTGTTTGTCGGCAGAAATAGGTAAGGTGCTGCTATTGAAATGTCTTGTCTCACAGATTTCTTCAACTAGTCACGACTCTAGCTCGCGATAAGGAATACCATCGGCTGTTCCACGAAGATGTAGCAGCGATACTCAAGGAAATCGCATTGAGTCGACGCAAGAAAGATTACACACTCAGTACTGATGTCGGAAAGGTCGATAAGTGGACTCTTTTGAGGTAATTTTGTTTTATATATCGAGTGTGAACTGGCAACCGGTGCGATCTCCATTTTGATAACTTTACAGGATGAAGAAAAAATCATTTATATAACATCTGTAATACATTTACATACATGTGTAATAAAAATATTTAAAAACTATGTGTTTTTATTTAATAAATGGCGCTATATAAATGCTGCAAACAATTTTTGTACTGTAAAGTTGTCAAAATTGGGACAGTACTGATTGCCAGTTCACAGTCAATAAGTAGGTATTTATGTATTCGTGGCTGCATTCCCATCAAACATTTATCGCAAAGCGTTTCTTCGAGATTTTTTTATGTGGGGATATTATTTTTATTACAATAAATACAAAATATTTTTGGAATATACGGAGATGTACACACAGGTCAGTTGTTGGCGCTGTACTATTTCAGTTTTCGAACTTGTGGTTTCAGCGAAAACGATAGTTGATATTTAAAAGTGATATAAGGCCCATTTACCTGATGAGTTGCCAGAGATGGATGGCCCTTATTTCGTCTCTGTTTCTGGTTATATACTCGAATGCCTTAAGCGCTCTATTGCTTCTCACCACACAATTTTTTTTTTATTGCGCATTTTTGTGAAGTAACTCCACTAGTTTTGCTATGATTACGAGTACAAAGATCGAACACACAGAACATTTTTCATTGATCCGATGTGACTTGAACCCATGTCCGTGCTGCACCGTAGCATTGCTCTAACCACTGAGCCGCGGGTCCAGGGAGTCTGCTCTCGTTTTCCAGCCGATATCTGTCCGAAACAGTTGTTGTGAAGTAAGTAATACGCGACCAAATTAAAAGGACCCATGATGTGAATGAAGCTTCATACTTGACATTTTAATATGGTCGAGTATTACTTATTTGACAGTTATAGTTTCGGAGAACGAGAATTAGGGACCAGTTATCGAGTCGTCGAAATTCTCCTATGTGTTTTTGTTATAGATCTACGTACTGACTTTCGGCATTCGTCGCCGTAAGTGATGTCATTTTATTTAGTTTATTTTGGTACAGACAGTAAATGGTACTTACTTGGCACTGGGCGCAACTGGTGTCCGCAACTCGACGACAAAGCGTCTATTTTGCGTGTGGTGGGTGCAAGGTCCTACTCGTGCCACCCAAGCTCCTCCAGGAATCTCAGTGACCTCCTCGGTTTGCTGAAGATTTCGGGGAGCGACCTCGGCACTCCAAGGTACTTCGCCCTGTAGTTGGCCACGCCGGAGCACTGTAGTAGGATGTGCGCAGCCGTTTCCTCCCCGTCCATGCACGCTCTGCATAGAGGGCTGTCTGTGATACCTAAATTAAAAGGTGTTTATTGTATGCACCATGACCCGTTAGGGCAGTTAGTAATTATAATTCATCGAGTATTTCTGGTTATGTACTCGATGTTATAATTACACTATGAATTAACACAGAACAAATTTGAACTATGCTATAGACAACGAATACCGAATATTGCATTTAAATATTAATAACATAGGCTGAAAGGGCTTAAATATATAGAATAAAAAATAAACGCATTTTTACAAATTAACCGGGATGTTTACCTATGACGAGAGGCTTCGCAAGCAGACTCTCGCCATTAGGCCGTTAAGCCTATCATTACTACTAAATAATTTGTTTTGGATGCTTACCTTAAATCTGTTGAATGAGATACCAAAAATATTCGTGTCACAAAGTTCAACATACACATTTTTTAACCGACTTCAAAAAACTGACACTTTTGACGCCGCTACCTCAGATATAGACAGTTAAGCAGTAGTTCATAGTTCTAGCCCTGATCAAAACTCAAGTCTGTTAGGTGGCGTCCATACTACGGATTTCGTGCTTGCATTTCCCAAATTGTTTCTACCGGGAATAAAACCCGGGTTTTCTTCATCTAACGCCCACACAAACCGGCCACAGAAGTCGTCAAATAAGCTAATTATTTAATATATTTTATTTTCAGAGATTTGTTAATGTACAAAACGCCGATATATAGACGCAGCGAAACTCCTCGAACACCGTCGTCAAAGCGGTGAGTACTGATTTATTTTTAACCGACATCTAGAAAAGGGTAAATCTAGCTGATTTGTTGCCACGACATATACGCGGATTCGATTTAGCCACTAAATTACCGAAATGATAACTTATAATTAGTGATGTCTGGTTTTTACCGCCCACGAAGAAATAATATGGACATGCCTATATAAATGTAATGATTCTAATGCTGTTATTACAAAATAATATTTTTGCAAATAATTTTATAATATTTATAAAACTTCTCGTAATAATGTTTTTTTTTCATTGAAAATGTAATGTATACCAACTTAATGTTTGTCATGGTATATGCACAGATTCTAAACTGTTACCCTCAGTAAAAAAATGTTATTATCGTGGCTCAAGTTCAACGTATAAGTAATACGAGCCACAATGACAGCTACCTCGGAACCCTGATCATCCCCATTCTTTCCAAATCGTATCATGCTTGTCGGCCGTACACGTACATTCAATGTTTTCTCGGTACTTCGGTAATTTATAGTTATTTAGTAAATAATAACTGCTCATTCAGAGATCCCGCGATTGATGTATATATTTTTATTCAGAAAGGCATATCCATATTATTTTTTCCTAAGAGACAGAAGTGAAGGTTAGGTAAATAAGCACCCGGTTATCCGATCACTACTTATAATCCAATGCTAGTTACGCGTAATTAGAGGTGTGGCGTAATTAGAGGTCTTAGCGAAAAGCACTTAAAAACGTTTGCTTTTTAAAATAAGCACTTAAGCACACCTGTTATTTTAAACGTAAACGTTGGTCAGTTTTATTTTCTTTATTTTTTTATTTTTTTATTTATTTCCCTTCGGCCGCGTACGAAACCGGAGGTTCGTAACCAGTTGCGAAAGTAACATAATTGTGTTTTGTACGATACCAGTTGCGAACGAAGACTTTTTTGTACTCGCACGATGCCGTGATTTCAGGCAACTAGGACCCATAGATACATACCTTACAAACTAACATACATATAATATAACAATAATATAATAAAACAATAACATAAATATTAAATAAATACCTTACGGACTAATCATAAACACAATATAACATGATATTATACATATAACACTATTTATTTACACGTATGTACTTCGACGTGTGACGCAACGTGGGTGTCCGGTAGCCGTCCTCGGAAACGCCGGTACATGACACCCTTCGGCCAAAAGTGTTCTCGCATGAAGGTCGACAGGTGTTGAGTTGGTACTCGCACCACAAATGATTTAAAATTCACATTGTGGCGCGACTCCAACCGCTCGACCCTCAGGTTTGCGTTGGCCTTCACTCGCATGTACTCCACAATATCCGCAGACTTGTTGGAGTAATGAAGACGTGACACGTATAACAACGTCGTCGGTACCGCTGGACGTAATAAATGATTCGGGCCAGTCAGGGCGGTGCCACTAAGGTTTCGGCTGGTGTTCTTATTTTGTTTTATACTCAACAATTTCATTTTTTACAACGTGCCTAAGTTTCATGTCCCACCGTTTATGTTTCCTGAAGAAATGAATTCGTCAATGTGAATAATAATTTTATAAATAAAAATAAAAGTCGTGTTTTACAAATAAACTTAAACCCTTTAGTGGCTATTCTTGTTTTTCGCTATCAGCACAACATTGCAAGCTTTTTCTAACATAAAAGTCTGTGCGTTTAAACGTTTTTCTAAACGATTTTTTAAGCTTCAAACTAAAAAGCGTTACGTCTAAAATTTACCGAATGTGTAGAATATTTGATGGCATTTGTTGTAACCCTGATATTCCGTGATAGCCTTCCCGCATTCAAAAAGTCCGTCATTAAACGCTCATGTGAATAATTTTAAGACCTTTTTCTATTTTAAAATTATCAGTATTCTTGTTATTGTTTTTTTTGTTCATAAGATCGCATAATCTATAGTTTTCTGAATGCTGGATACAGTTATAATTGGAATGCAGATTTACTGATGCTTCTTTTTAAAATAATTTTGTTTGAAAACAATGCTGTAATCTGTTTTCTGTAATTTGTGTACCATTACAATAAAAAAAAAATAAAAAAAAATAAGCAGTTTTTCCCATCTCTACGCGTAATTGCACTATCGCCGACGATATAACATAATTTTTTAAATAAATTTTATTTCAGATGTGAAAATTCGCAACTACCTATATCCAGTACAACAAACAAAGAAGACAATTCAAGAAAAATACAATGCAAAAATAAAACCAATAACTTGGAAACAAATAGTTGTAATTCTGAATCAAAAGACGTTGCGAGCGTACAGAGTATAGAAGTAACCATTATATCCAACGCGAGAAAAGTCAATTCTGTCACTACTGGTGATGGTACACGGTCTCTTAATAAAGATGCAAGGTATTTATGCAATATTGCTTAATAATATATTAATAAGAATTGGGGTTATTTGTAAATATCGAGTATGTAATCAGATATAGAGACGAAATAAGGGCTATCCATCCCTGGCAACTCATCAGGCAAAGACTTTTAAATATCAACTCTCGTTTGCGCTGAAATAATAAATTAGAAAGCTGAAATAGTACAGCGCCAACAACTGACTTGTGTGTACGTCTCCGTATATTCCAAAAATATTCTGTATTTATTGTAATAAAGATAATATCTCTAACTATGGGGGACTGTTCTACTCGGTGGTATGGGAAAAACAACAAAACATTTAATTACAAAACAAACGGAATCACAGTTCATCGATAATTAATTATTAAATATGTAATTGTTCAATTTTCGTCCATTATAGCAAAGCTCAAGTTAAATTGGTCGATTTAAAATGAAACAATGGACGACACCCGTCAATTGTTTCGAATTCGGACTGGCCAATCGGAGCGCAGTTGTCACCGTAATGATTTCGCAGAATAGTTTTGAAACAAATGACATTTCGTCTCTATTTCTGGTGATATACTCGATGCCGTAGGCTTGGCTAGCAAATTAACTTTATTGGCACTACATGAAACACTTAGTTCGTGACTTGTTCACAAACTTCATAAACTGTTCTTACCGGGAATCGAACCCGGGTACATATCTAGCGCCCACATGACTAACTACTAAGTCACTAGATATGTAGACTCAATTGGTACTTGTTCTCGATGCGTGCACGTGCTTGCATAAGTGCGTGCGTGCTTGCGTGTATATTGTGCTAATTTTGTCATATACCTATAATATAAACTGCCTCAGTGGTCGAACGGTTACCAAACTAGTCGCCACGCAGAAGTCCCGGGCTCGATTCCCGGGCAGGGAGAAATATTTGTATGGCCTACATTTATTTCTCTCGTGAGTTTGGGTGTAATTTGTGGTTGTCTATGATGTGTGTCCATGGTACCCGCGATACAGGGTTTCTCTAGTGCGGGACTGTGAGTGTGCGTTATTATTATTATAATAAAGATAAAGATAAAGATAAATTTATTTCTGTATAAAATATTAACCTAAATACATACATAAATTTTATTAAATAACCTATTATTTACATATATGAGCCAAATTGTCGCAAACAATGAAATTATTTTATGTTTACATTACTTTAATTAAGGTTAGTAGTGCAAATTGATCTAGGTGATACCTAAACTAAGTAAAATTGTTTACTTGTGTCTTAGGTATCTAAATTGGTGATTATAGCATAACGGTTAGTCAACCTATTTTGTTCAATAACAATAAATTACAATAATACATAAATCTTAATTATAATAGCTGACGTCTTAATTATATTTATATTACTTAAAAACTGATATAAAATTTTCAGTGTCATTGTAGTTAATTCTTTTTAACCAGTCTTGTACGGTTTTTTTACATTTAAACTTATTCATAGGATATATAGATAGAGAACGATTTATTTTATTATACAAATAGCTACCAAGAAAGCAAAAGAATCTGTGGGAGTGTTCTGTTCGAAACCGTTCAGTTGAACAAACAATGTCTGCTCGTCTTTTACTGGTTTGGAGTGATGGAATATATGGTGTTAGTGAATGCTTTTTTATTACGGCTAACCGTAATACTACTAATAGTATGAATAGCTGGCGTATTGAAAGTACTTCACATTTAGCATGGAGTTCTGCTGTGGGAAAGCGAAAAGGTCGGAAAGTGCTAACTTTCAGAATGGCTCTTTGTGCTCTTTCCAAATTTAGCAAAGTATTTTTATGGGAGCCTCCCCAAGTCGTTATAATTATTAATACAAAGATCGAACACTCAGTAAAAATTCCTTCGATCCGGCCGGATTCGAACCGACGTCTTCTACCATACCGTGGCAGACGCTATACCAACTAAGCCACGGAACGAACCACCGGATCTCACAAATTTTTCTATGTGCTTGTTGTCGTGTCTTTTTATTTGGTTTTTCAACGATTTTTTATCCGTAGCGTCATCTATGAGAAATCTATGGAAGTATTTCGTCACCCAGTTAGATACATTTACAGCTACCAGCCCCGGCTAGATATGTATTTAAATTTTTATTGAATTGACATTCAATTCTTTTTCGAAGGAATATTTTTCTGAATGTTCGACTAGTGGAGTAATTTCATATAAAAAATAATTTAAATTCAATTGAATAAAAAATTTAATGTTATTATTATTTGAAATTTTAGACCACCTATAAAAAAAGGCATAGCATTCCAAAGCGCCGGAGTTCAAGTCGTGGATACAATGCATGCAGAGGTGGAGCAGTGTGTCGAGATTAGCCGTTTGACAGGGTCCACGAGAAAAAACAGACTGATTGAAGCCATGAGCACACCCATGGAGAGTGGTATAGCTGAAAGGTACGCATTTTTATTATTATTTTTTTTTTCATTTATGGCACAATAAAATACATCGAACATAAACATTGTAGAAAACAAAAAACATGTAAATATTAATATCGTAGGCCATCGAGTATAGAGACGAAATAAGGGCCATAAATCTCTGGCAAATGAGCCTTATATCACTTTTAAATATCAACTCTCGTTTACACTGAAATCACACATTAGAAAGCTGAAATAGTACAGCGCCAACAACTGACCTGTGTGTACGTCGTATATTCCAAAATTATTCTGTATTTATTGTAATAAAGATAATATCTTTAACGTTGGAGGGCTGTTGCTATTCGGTGGCAGTGGTAAAAATAGCAAAACATCGAATTACAAAAGAAACTGAATCACATTTCATCGGTAATTAATTATTGTATAATATGTAATTTTTTAATTTTCACCGTAATGATTTGGCATAATTGTTTTCAAACAAATTAAATGACATTACGTCTCTATTTCTGATTATATACTCAATGCCGTAGGCTTATGCATCAATGGGCTATAATGAGGTATCTGTGACAAGGGGTATATGGTACAAAACTATCCAATTGCGTCATCTAAGAAACCCCTGACTCGAGGAAGGTAGCTTATCAAAGTCGCTGTTGTTAATTGCTCTTACACTGCGCTCTGGTCATATTTCATTAAATAAATATAGCTCCAGTAGAGCTCCTTGTGAAAGAGTTCGTCCAGGGAAGTACTGCCATCTTACCTATTTCTGTCGCCAAGCAGCAATGTTAGCATGACTATGTTCCGGTTTTGAAGGGTTAAGGGTGCTGGTGAAATTACAGGCACATGGGACTTGTCAACTTATGCCTCAGCGTGACGGCCGCAGTGCCCCTCAGATCTTTGCGATTTAAAGCTCTGAGTGGCACTGCAACTGTTATGGGTAGGCGTGTCGCTGAACAACAGGCGCACGACTTGTTTGTCCGGTCACTTGGTATTGTAAAAAAAAGGTCCTGTTTGAGTCCCTGAAGATCCATCCTGGTTTGCTTTGTTTCAGAATGATGCGCCGAATGGGGTGGGAAGGAGGCGCGTTGGGGGTTCGTGGGGAGGGCATCACCGAACCTCTCATGCCACCTTTGCACATTGTAAGTGTTAATTCACAATAAATAAATAAATATAAATATAAATATTAAACAACATCACATTATGTTGCTCTGATTCCAAAGTAAATAACTAAAGCACTTGTGTTATGGAAATCGGAAACAACTACGGTACCACAAACACCCAAACCCGAGACAATATAATAGAAAAGTTAGTTCTTTCTACATTGGCTCGGCCAGGGATCGAACCCGGGACCTTCGAGATCCCGACACCATGAACTCACAAAATAACTGTGTCTAACTCGAGCCTTCTGCAATAATTGCGAAAAACTCAAGAGGTGCAAGCCCGGATTCGAACCCTCGGCTTTCTGCTTGAGTGCTACCACGACTGCACTCAACTGTCTACAATGAGTAGTGTTTGATGAATTGCATGATTTAATTCCGCCTTCACCTTTCCATCATCGCGGGACTAGAAATTGTTGTGAATATTCCAAAGATTCGCACGAAGCGTTAAGGTGCTTTTCCACTGGCGAGGCGAGACGAGTATTGGAATTTGTATTTTAAAAATTCGTTCTAGCTCATCTTCGGTGGAAATGGTCTGGGTCGACGAGGATATTTGAGGCGAGAATCGAAAATATTTGTTGATGAAATATTGAAACGTATTGATGCTTTACACAGAGTTATTATTAACTCAGCAACAGTAACTTGATTTCTCGCGCGAGCTCGCGATGGCTATTAATATCAATCGCGATATTGTGAGGTACATACGATTTCAGATTTAAATAACCTAACCTCCGATTAAAAAACCGACCTCAAAAGTCATTCACCCTCAAGTTTGCCACCCTTAGAGGTGGAATATTTTCTTGAAATTTAAATCGGACCACATCTGAGGTACCTTCTTTCCAACAAAAAAAGAATCACCAAAATTAGTTCACAAACGGCGAAGTTATCGCGTAACATACATACAAAAAAAACATACAGACGAATTGAGAAAAAGGTAGAGGCTCCTTTTTTTGATGTCGTTTAAAAAAAGATGGCTTCTTCTGATTCTTCCTACGTTAACATATCGCACCCCTTATGGAAGAATGGCTTAAGTAGAATTACGTCAAACATGTCCAATTGGAGAGGACGTAGGTTATATTTTTCTGTATCTAATCTCCAATTGAAAAGGTTGTGGGTATATTTTTCTGTATCTAATGGAGTAGAATGAACATGTTTGACGTAATTCCTCTTATGCCATTCTTCCATGAGGGGTGCGATATTTAATAATAATAATAATTTAGGAGACGTGTTATGTCAGTCGCGTATTTATCACTGGACAAACTGAACAGCTCTGAATCTAGGCTATTCACATCAATCGCGAGCGCGCGATAGATATTGGTGGCAGTTTTTGATGGATATACGCTGGTGATATTTCAATTCTCTTCACGCCTCTTCTCGTCTCGCCTCGCCAGTGGAAAAGCACCCTTACGCTTCCCGAACGATAAATAATTTATCGTTCGGGAATTCAATTATAGAACCACTTCAAGGCGAGAGTGAATAACCGTTATTTAGGTGTGCATGCTCCTCAACCCGACCACCACTTTCCATTAGGTGAGATGGAGGTCAAATGCGCACTTATTATATCATGAAATTTTTTTTCCAGTCCCCAGGGGCTGGCCTAGGTCATGTAAAAACAAAACTACCCAGCCGTTCAGCAGCAGGGTTCCGCATAATATTCCTTCAACATTTGCTGTCGTGGATATTAACGGGTGGGAGAGAGAAGACGATAAAAATAGGCCCTATGACCAAGCGAGAGGCAAAATTCGTTAAGCCCACGCTACGGAGCTTGAACGACCGGAAGAACGTTGTCTTCGCCAACAATGAAGAGGTAACTTTAATATAAACCTACAACTTAACTGTTATGTAGCGCTGCACACGGCGCGGTGAAGGTTCTAAAATCTCTCACTAGATGTCGATGGGCAAGCACCCGGGTTTTAACCCGGCGCTTTGTTAACGCGGGGTTTGAATCGGGTTAAACCCCTTTAATGCCCGCAATCGAGGACAAAACCTATTAACAACTAAGTGGTAACCTATCACAAACTCGAGTTTTTTTTCCGAAATAAAGTTTGTTCGAATTTTCACTACACCGAAAACTGAATTATAACGAAACCGTTGTTCTTTTAGTAAATGTTGGATGTTTATCGCAAAGACACGTTTAGGTTCGGTTAGGTTAGGTTAAGTTAGGTTTAAAAGAAAAACATTTTCCTCTTAAAATTATTTTCGAGGTTATGAAAATTCGACCAAACGTTATTTCTGGAAAATGTCATTTCAGACTACTGATAGGTAACCCAACTAAATATTTTAAACTTTTATTGAATTGATATAAAATTCCGCAAAGTAAATGAAATTTCATGGAAATCAAAATAACTGTAATACGATTGAGAAATTAACTATGTTTAAGTACACTAAAATTATAGGAACAATAAGAATGAAATTACAGGCACTTGTCAACTTATATCTCAGGGTGTCAGGCGCAGTGGCAGTGCCCATCAAATCTTTGCGATTTAAAGCTCTGAGTGGCACTGCAACTGTTATGGACAGGCGTGTCGCTTACCATCAGGCGCACGACTTGTTCGTGCCGTCACTGGATATTATAAAAAAAGCCTTTCAAAATTTGTTCCGTACATTACTACTAATTTTTTTTAGGTTGCCCTCGTTAATAAAGTCTTAAATGCCCTGGAACAGGATCCGGAATTTTTTATTGAATGCCAAATCAGTGAAGACAAAAGGTAAATTGTTTCAATACTTTTATTTAGCTTCCAGTATTACGGCATGCATTAGAACATTTATAATATCGCTGAAATTTTATGGCATGCCGACTATTTTTTAACATCTCACATGAAATACTGTCGTAACTCAAAAATGGTGGAATTGAGAAAACACGACTTGAAATTTCGAATTATAAAAAAAAATCGACCTCAGAAGTTCGTGGAATTAGTCAAAGTCAAAGTCAAATATTATTTATTCCATAGGTAAAATAAACTTACACTTGAAAACGTCACATTTAAGCTTCTGCTCGTTCACTACGCTGACCTCCCTGAGAAGAACGAGCAAGAAACTCTAGGGATTGCTCTTTTCAAATAAACTTAAATGCTATGGAATACACTTTGAATCAAATTTGTGTGGATTCTGGAGCCATGTCGTCTTTCCATACATCTTTATCTAACACGTAGTCTTCAATTTTGATCGAAAAATCATATTACAAAATTGAAGACTACGTGTTAGATAAAGATGTAATATGATTTTTCGATCAAAATATTTTTAATGTAGTTTTTAAACTTAGGAAATGATAAACTTAATATATGCTCCGGAATCTTATTGTAAAAACGTATACAGTACATCTATTACATCTATTTGTCAAGTTTTATTATAATAATAATAATAATAATAATAACATTTATTTCACAGATTGATAGGTACAATTTTAAGTTTACCGCGGTCCCCACACTAGGCAAGCCTGTATCGCGGGGTCCCAGACATCTGATTTACATAGAAAACTTAGCCTCTAGATTGTACTTATGGATTAACATATTTTATGAAAATAAACCTAGGATATGTATTGAGCAAAAATATATATATATATAATATACATATAATAATAATAACAACAATAACTTATCTAATTTATGTAACAAAATAATTATATATATTCATTTATTACATTATAATAAGCGAAATATGCTGCTACAACATGCGAATAACTAAGTTTTCGACAAAATCGTAGGTTAAACTAAGCAACCAGTTCTGTAGTAGCCGTTTAACTTCGAAAGCTGAGCTCAATTTAATGTCACACGATTTGAGGACGTTGTTGTACACGTATGCAGAGATGTACGGTTGGAAGCGTTTGGCAAAATCGTCTTTTTATTGTAAATCTTTTTATTGTAAATCATCTACCGGAAAGTGCGCAAAACTGGATTAATTCTCTAGTTTGCTACCATTAGAGGCAGAATATTTCCTTCAAATTTAAATGTGACCAATACTGAGGTGCCCTCTTTCTAACAAAAAATCATCCAAAACGGGGTTCACAAATGCCAAAGTAATCGCGTAAAGACTGAATCTGCAATACCAAGACCACGCAAGACCAAGACAGGGTTAGTCTCCTCTTGGTTTTTGCATATCTGCCGTCCACTAACTAAAAGGCGGCTAAGTGACAAATGGTCAAATAACCGTTTTAAATAGCAAAAAAAGCGTCGTTTCGGGCCCTTTACAGGTTAACTGTGACCATGGGACCTGTAAAGGGCCCGAAACGTCGGTTTGTTTGAAAAAACAAATATACGCTATTTAACTCCGGAAAATTAGTTTCAATTTTAATATTCTAAAACTGGGTTATGGTTTTTTATGATATCGTCGCTGGAAAGCGATAATGCAGTAACCCGCAATACCTGCAAAAATGCTTTTTTTTGCATGTTCTTGTTCATAGGAAATGAAACTATTTTTCCGGATTTAACTCGCGTATATTTGTTTTTTTCAAACAAACCGACGTTTCGGGCCCTTCACAGGTCCCATGGTCACGGTTGACTGAGATGGTACAGTCTTCAACCAGTTATGTCTAATATTAATGCAAACCACCTTATTTTTTCACTATAGTTACAATAGTTATTAATTAAATACCTTATTTTTAATTTTACAAAGAAAACATTCCAATTTTGATTGATTATAATTTAAATTATAATCATGATAAAATGTTTCTATATTTTTACTATTTTCGTTCATTACCTAGTGCCTAGGAGGAATAGGGATTATTGTTGAATTTATACTAACGCGTAATAATTTTAAATCTTTAACATGTAAATAATAAGGTACCAGGCAATAAACTAAAGCAGAAAATATAAGAACAGAAAATGAAAAACTAATAATCAAGAGTAAGATCAGTTGTTGATTACTTTATGAAATTTAAGGAATTTATAATTCATCAGTTCTAAGAACGATGTAATATGGCACACAAAGTGTCAATGATTTTATTTTATTGTGTTACATCTCCAATATTATAATTCGATTTGTTTCATTGTACTCATTGTGACCAGTCTTTCAAGAAATAGTGGTTCTTTATAATAAACATTTTAACACCATTTTAATGTTACCTGCTTTGGTTTAAAAAATACTCTTACAGCATTATTGAATTTCGTATATCTTCAAGAAGTTAACATTTAAAGACCAAAAATGTGTTAAGGCGCTCTAATTCATTTACATCAATCTTAGAAAACCGTAAATTGAGGGCATTAGTCGCACCTTCATACAAATTAACTTGAAAGTGACAGCATTCTTTGAGGTTAAAATCTGAAAATCGAATTGTCGTAACCCACACATCGTCATTAGGAGTAGGACTATTTCAAATCGGACTTTTTTTTGTTAAGAAGTCCTATTTTTTTATAGGTTTATTTGCTAAATTTTTCACAAAAATCTCGAACCATTCAGTTATGATTTTTTTTTCGTTTTTGCAATTTTTGTTTTGGCTCCAGTGAAAGTTGAGTTTTTGAGTGTTACAGCATTATCGCTTTCCATCGACAATATGTCAACAAAATTATTTTATCACTTAGCCGCTTTTTAGTTAGCGGACGGCAGATATGGGCAACTAACACACATACAGAAAACTACAGTCGACTTAGAACCCTATCCTTTTTTGAAATCGGTTAAAAATACTGAAATAAATCGGATAATGGGATTGTTATCCATTTATATACGAGAATAAAAATTTATTGATTCCATTCAGTAGTTTTTTGAGTTTTGAAATCGTGTTTACCAATTCCACCATTTTTGAGTTACGACAGTATTAGGTTTAACGTGTGAATTATTTTGGTACGTTACTATTTTCTAAAGTCCAAGCTTCGTTCGGAATCATTTTCGAAAAAACGAACAAAGTTCACTTCTTATGGTATTTATCTTAAGGTATATTGTACGATCGTTTAAGTACGGTTATAATGTTCGGATATTCGACTTGTGTTTTTTTTTTAAAAGAAACACTAAAAGACAAGAGTTATTGAATTAAATAACTTCGGTATTTGTAGTATGAATTATAATTAGAAGTCCAAAATGTAAACAAAGAAACGTCATAAAATGTCAACGTCAAAGTATGAATGCAGGTGTGCTAAACCTTCTATTTTCAACGGAACTGGAAAAGGAGGATGTTCTCGTTTTCCACAATTTTAATTATCTATTACAAAACAAAAACTTTATTTAAAAAAACGGAGTACGTAGACAAGACATCGAATTCGAGACACGAAGTACGAAAGACATCTATGACACGACAAAATGGCGGCACAAAAAATGTTTTTGATCCCGATTGTGTTGCCAGTGTCATAAAAATTATTTAATATCTTAACCATAGACTGATTTGCTTGTTTTATGGACGAAGAGACTATAGTTCTAAACTTTATATAGATTGTGAGTTAATTAAGAGTCTATACAACCTCAAATGGCTTCTGTTGATTTTCGCATAACATACCGAAAACACGATTCCGAAAAATTTTCACGATAGAAAAAAAACACAAATTTGCCCCAACATTCTACAAATATCAATGATTTTTTTATGTCAACTGAACTAAATATAACATGTATATAGTATACGATATACATTTTGAAAAATTTCGTTTGCAAAAAAATTAATTCTGAAATAAAACCAGTGTCCCTGACGCTCGACCCAAGCAAAATTAACCGTAATACAGTACGGGAAAAAAATTAATTCGTGTTGAAGTAGTATAGTCCCTTTTCACCCAGTGCTCCTCTTACTCCATCTAACTTTAATAATTTAATAATTTTACTTATCGTGCTGTTAAAATTAAATTCCGTACTTGAGAAGCATTACACGGTAAGTGCTATTTTTGTAATTTTACAGGGGACGCGATTTTGTGTCGAAATACAGCATGTACAACGTTTTAGAATGGCTTGAAATAAAACTAATTGAGTTTTAATAACATTTCGAGCTACCCTAATTGCCGTACACACTGCTTTTCGACACAAAATCGCTTGCCCCGTAAAATTACACAATTGGCGCTTACAGTGTAATGCTTCTCGGGTACAGAATTACACTGTTTAGAAACGTTAAAAACCTGGATAGGTTTAGGGTATAATAGTGTAAATAGTGCATTCAACCACAGTAATGTTTTAGATATGTAAAGTGCATGTGCAACTGTGAATTTAAGCTTGTATTCAATTTTGTAATCAATTATTATTTCATTCATTTCTCATAGATGGCGCTACGGCAAAAATGTCGTTAAAAACCTAAACAAAGATCTGCTATAAGCACATGAAAAAATTCGTGAGGTCCATTGGTTCGTTCCGTGGCGTCTGACACGATTTGCTAGGAGACGTTGGTTCGAATCCAGTCGGATCGGAGTGATTTTTTCTAAATGTTCGATCTTTGTATTAATAATTATAACAAACTAGTGTAGTAATTTCACAAAACAATAATTGAATATCATGGTGGTGAAATATAGCTACTGATATTCAATAAACATTATTACAATTAACAGTTATCGAAATAGGCACGGTAAATTTACCTTAACTTCAAGTACTACAAATAGAGCGCATAATACCTCGCCATCGAGTATATAACCAGAATTAGAGACGATATAAGGACCATCCATCCCTGGCAACTCTCAGGCAAATGGGCCGTATATCACTTTTAAATATCAACTCTCGTTTGCGCCGAAATCACAAATTAGGAAGTTAAAATAGTACAGCGCCAACAACTGACCTGTGTGTACGTCTCCGTATATTCCAAAAATGTTCTTTATTTATTGTAATAAAGATATTATCTCTAACTATCGGGGACTGTTCCATTCGGTGGTGTGGAAAAAACAGCAAAACATGTAATTACAAAACAAACGGAATCTATTTCATCGGTAATTAAATATGTAATTTTGCAATTTTCGTCTATTATAGCAAAGTTCAAGTTAAACTGGTCGATTTGAAGTGAAACAATTGACGACCCTCATAAATTGTTTCGAATCGGGCTGGCCAATCGGAGCGCAGTTGTCACCGTAATGATTTGGCAGAATAGTTTTCAAACAAATTTATTTCGTCTCTATTTCTAGTTGTATACTCGATGTACCTCCCTCTGGATTATGGGTATAATTAAAAATAAATTACTAAATGTGTAGTTACCCTAGTGAAGTGAATTGATAGTTGGTGTCCGTCAGAATAGCTGGTTACTTGTGGCGTCTGGTACTGAGGCAAAGTGACAAGAAGACAAAGTGTGTTAATTTGACATTGACTTACAAAAAAATGGGCGACGGGTCTAATACAAAAACCACGAAAAAAATGTCCCAAGTCAACCTATTTAAACGTAGTGACATGTAAAGGAATATGAAAAAGCTAAAACGTTGAATTTAAATTGCAGTCATCGCAGTACTGTCTTATTTTGCTTGTTTCGCTGTCAGTCGAACAAACGAAGACTAAAGCGTGAATGACGCTCTGTATACGATTTTAACGCCCTATAAGTTCAGACACTTTTTAGCGCGGACCCGACGTCCATATAATTGTAAGTCAATGTAATTTGAATTACCTTTTGTAAAATCGCCTAGTTCAAATATAGAAATAAATGGAGAAACGTTAAACATGGTTAATAAAGGAGTGTTACGGATGTATACATTCGCATAATCTCGCGAGGCACTCGCATTGCGCAGCGCGAGTCGTCTTACGCGGTTTTCATTATAACGTACGGTCACTGTTAAAACATGACATCAAATAAATCACGAAAATCTCTTTTCAAAACAGTTAAAATTAGGTAACTTGTTCGACGTATCGGTATATTAATTAAATTAAATTAAATTAATTAAATTAATATTCTAAAACTGGGTTATGGTTTTTTACGATATCTCAAAAACATACTTTTTTAGTTCGCGGGCGGCAGTTATGTCTCAGGGTGACGGGCGCAGTGGCAGTACCTCAGGTCTATGCGATATAAAGCCCTGAGTGGCACTGCAAAGGGCCCGAAACGTCGGTTTGTTTGAAAAAACAAATATACGCGATTTAAATCCGGAAAAATAGTTTCATTTCCTATGTGTGTAACAATCGCGAAAACCTAAGAACTCGAGTAGTGTGGTTCTTTGAACAATAATGGCTCAAATTCAGAATTGTTCAGCATTTCATATGTATAGGAAAATAAACTATCTAATCGCGTATATTTGTTTTCAACAGTTGCATCAAACAGACCCTTATTTTTTCTTTTTTTTATAACATAAGTAATAATAACATACACACTCAACATAGCCCTGCACTAGGGAAACCCTGTGTCGCGGGTGCCATGAACAACACACATAGACAACCAACAAATTACATCCAAACTCACGAGAGAAATAAATGTAGGCCATAAAAATATTTCTCCCGGCCCGGGAATCGAACTTGGGACCTCTGCGTGGCAGTGCGGCATGGTAACCGTTCGGACACAGAGGCAGCTAAATAATGTCAAGTGACGGTTCGAACAAGATCGTGCGTATGATGGTAAGTTACACGCCTGTCCATAACAGTTGCAGTGCCACTCAGAGCTTTAAATCGCCAAGATCTGAGGGGCACTGCCTCTGCGCCCGTCACCCTGAGATATGTCCCAGTTGACAAGTCCCATGAACCTGTAATTTCACAAGCGGCGCGTGTACACGCTAAGAAATTCGTCGTGTCTGCAACAGAAAAGACGAGAATGGCCTTCTACACGACAAGAGTTTTGTCGGATCTAGCCACGAAAATATTTCGTGTCTGTTGCAGACAAGAAAATGATGAGTATGTACACGACACGAATGTTTTCGGGCAGACGTGTATAGGGTAAACGTGTCAGTGCACTTCCAGGTAGCCGTCGTTTTACTACCGACTATATAAAGAAATATGTTGACTACTAATAAAAAAAAAATGGTAATTGCAAATTATATATATAGAATAATAAATATTTCTCTGCATGCCTCAAAAGTACGTCGTTGTCTTACAAATCTAAGGTTTTGTCCCACAACGCGGGTCGTTCTTCTACTAAACTTATAAATAAATCATGCATTTTATTAGTCGCAATCAAATTAGTGGTGCAACAGTGGTACTTTGCAAAATCAGTCCACGCGCATCAACGTTCGTTTACTGACAATGCGCCTTATGCAATAGCGGCAGAGCGCGTCGCGTCGGGGGTAGACAAGATTTTTTTTCTTGTCCGGCGCCGAGGCTGTGTACGCAGTTCGTGTGTAGAAACGACACGAATTCTTGAATAGACCCGGCGACTTTTCTTAGCGTATACACGCGCCCTAACCCTTCAAAAAACTTTCTGACATTAATATTAGCATTGACCAATAAGTCAAGCGGTGTGCTAATCACGATGCAAGAAAGCGTATTCGGGCATTTAGTACCTATTGCCTCACCAGATGTCGCGACGAGTACCGAATAGCTGTTATTATAACTATAGTCATCACCAAGAGGCCAAATTTGACACTCGTCATCGTGACGCGAATAGGGATGCGGACTAATCGTAACGGTAATCACATTATACGATGTCGACGAGAAATCGATTCAAAATTTTAAGAGTTTGTAATTGTTTAGATTATTTTTCAGTTCATTGTTGTTCAGGGGATCTTAGATGCCAAATCGTACAATTAAAAAAAAACAATTCATTTGCAGAATTCCTTGCAATTCTGTAGCAATTCAATTTTAATTTTCGTAAAATTGTCCCACATTCCGATGAATTGTATCCAATACTTTTCATTTTGATTTTATAATATTCATAAATGGTTTATTACGAGAATTTAGTGTAAATAAGTATATTCATCAATAAAACAACTACATAAGTCAATATTTTTTACAAGGAAACCGAAGTGACTCGGTGAAATTCGGCGATTAATTGCTTACAACACTATTATTTAAGAAAACATAGCTTGAGTACATA